ACACCCCCCCCCAACCCCCGTTCCGGCAGCTGGATGCCGGTCTGTAAAACCTCGCCTATTTCAGCCAAAATGAAGACAAGTTGTAATAATGCAGCTCTTTGTCTTTCAGATTTCAGGTACTCAGACTCCACCTTTACCTTCACCTACATTGGAGGCTCCAAAAGGTACTTTTTTTTTTTTTCTTCCCCCCTCTACAGTAATGAGTCCCTTGGTTTCCTGCTGGCAGCGGGGTGCAGCGATTCAGTGCCGTAGGAGGCTTCTTTTGTTTCCTTTCCTTTCACAAGGAGGATAGGTAAATCATCCGCCTTCGTGCAAACGTAAACCCAGGAGGAAGTGTCGGGGGAGGTGATCAGAAAGGTGATCCTGCTTGTCAAAGGCTCGTCCCTCTGAGTGCTGCTCCGTGGAGCTTTGCTGTTTCTCTCTTTTTTTTTTTAATTTATGTGGGAATGTAGAATTTCTGCTGTATGTAAACTTAACAGAAACACAGCAGAGGCGTCAACATGATACAAAGTTAATTCGTGTTAAAAAACTGTGAAAAGTTATGATTTTAATAACTAATAGGCCAAATTTCACATCAGCACCTTATTCTCTTGCGTGAGAGCCATATTTAGTCCCATGACAGATGCAAGACTGTCTGCAATTGACCAAATCAAATTCCTGAGACATTAAGTGAAATCTCAGGATAGCTTATAAGGCTAAAAAATGTTTTTATTGAAAGGTAGTATAAATATTATCTCTAAGTGGTTCCGAGCTTTCAGTTATAAACTGGATTGTGCATGTACACATTTTTAAATTATATTTCAGCATTTGTTGGTTTTGTCTGTTTTCAAAAGGAAATACATGTAAAAGCTTGAACACACATCCTTTTCATTTCCCTGACTCTTAGTTACCTTTTTACTTAACAAGGTGTTAACAGTATATGCTATGTCGTTCTCTTACCTTCTAGATGAATTTTATTAGACTTGGCAAGAAGTCTAGGTTTGATTTTTTTTTTGTTTTAATTTTTTTTTTCTCAGTTCATCAGATATCTTCGGCAATTGTTTTTCTTTCCCGTGAAGTACTGCATTGTGTGCAAGTGAACCTTTCAGTGCAGGCAGCGCTCCCGCAGCCATCGGTTGTCCCCTGGGCGAGCTTCAGGGCCTGGCTGCTGGACCAGGCTCCCAGGTGGTGCCCAGGCTGCGGGATGGCTCTGAAAAATACTTTCCCGCCTCGCTACCCTGCCTCTTCCTACTGAGGGAAAAGGCAACTTTGGTCATTTTCAGTGGAGTGGACTATTTCACCCAGTAGCTGAGAATCAATGTATTTTTAGGTTGCTTGTACTATACTCCTTCATTTAGGGTTTTAGTGTGTGGAAACATATAGAATGGTCCTGTTTTAAAGGACAATTTTGAAAAGCTTGGTACAGTAAAAAAATATCTAACAGAAATATTATTTATTATGTAATTAAAATTATTGAATTTGAAAGTTACTTTGCACTGCTTTCTAAACCAAATATTGCAGCAAGAAACCAGGAAGTGAAACCTGTCTATTGTTTCCAAGCTGAATAAAGTGAAAAGCCTGAGGGCATAACTGATGGGAAACAAACTGGTTTATAAATGTTGGAACAAAACATTGTCACTCACACAAGGAGAGATGGAAGAGGGCCTTACATCCCACAGCCTTGAATTTTAACTGGGGTCAGCATTTGCGTAGGAAACTGTTGACTGGAGACCAGTCTCAGGACCTTGAAAATTAAACCTGAATTGAGAAACAAACGTTGTGCTTACAGAAATTGGTGAAAGTGGGTTGTTACGTAGAGCATACTCAAATTTCACTTTCCTTTTCACATTTTAAGGACATTTTACAAGTATCCTTTGAGATAAGTGTTTCACGGTCTCTGCATGTTTGTACTGTGATTTAGAAAGACGCTTTACAGTATTCTCAGTGAACAGTGGTGTACTGAGTGGCAGGTTTATGGTAGTAAGCTTTCTTGTGAAGCACAGAAAATGAAAACCTGAAGCCTTGACTATTAAGAACCAAACTTCATCAAAGATGAGTTAGTGGTTTCTTCTCAGAGAAGGTGCTGGCTGAGCAGCAGCTATCCTGCACTGTGTGGAGTATTCGGGCAAGTCTCCGGTACAGGGTCAGCAGCAGTGACTTGTGTGCTGTACCAGTTTAGGAGAGCACAAGGCTATCTAAGGATCATTTTCTTGCACTTGGCTGTGATTTTTTTCTTACTGCCACTGATGCAGCTGTGGACTGCCAGAGTGGTGACTCCATTTTTTGACTATTGCCCTCAGGAATTGTCCCTAAATTTCAAAACCTCTGTTACCTCACGATCATAGACTTCAGCATCAGCTGCAGGCCTTGTCCAGTCACTTCAGATATTCAGCCTGAAGACTTTGTTTTTTGAACCGACAGGGACACGGGCTTTTGAGTAATGGGCAAAGGCGTGGATGATGTTCACTGGACAGATGTTCAAACTGAGAAACAGATTTAAATGATTAAGAGTAGAAATGGTGTGTAAGGAAGATTACAGTACTATAGCACTCATTATCCATCCTTGAAACTAAGAGTTTTTCATGCTTTGTTTCCCTTAGATGTTCCTTTAGGTCAGTGTGTATTATGGCTTTGTTTTAGCCATAGTGGTTGAATACAAGAGCAGAAACCCTTGAAAGAAGGCAGTAAGTTTTCTATTTGAGAAGGCAGATTTTTTTGTCTTACCCTTGTATAAAGGCAGGTGACAATACTGACAAGTTAAACATCACTGGGGGTTTTCCTCTGCGTAGTTGCCTCTAGTGCCCATTAAGTCCATATATCAGTAGTCTTGATTTATAAACTCAGAGCCAGATTCTCAAGAATCAGTGTAAGTCCGTGGTAGTCAGCGTACCAGTATTACTTCAGTTATGATGAGGACCTAAGGTTTATTTGTGTGTGTTATTTAAACTGTTAAGTTTATCTGTGTGAGATTTTTCTTCTTGGCGCCAGCTTCTCTGACTTTATCTGATTTTTCCCTGTTGCTTGGATTGATAGCACAGACTCTTCCTACATTAGTACTATTCAAATATTGAGGTTGTACATAACCCTGCTGCAGATCAATCCAAATAGATAGGCCTGATCCAGAGCACATTCATCATCGCTTCAGTGGAGTTAACTTGTGTTCCCACAGTAAAGTGCCGAACCAAACCCTGAGGGCATGACTTAGCTTTTGTTCAAGTACAAAGGTTCCAGGGAAACCAACTGAAAACTATTATTTTTTTATTCTTTATGTAGACCCGTTCCAACACTCAATCTTTAGGTGATATTAAGCTATTATATTGTGTAAATAATATATGTGTAAATGATCACTGGATGGGCATAAATATCCCTCAAGGAGATTCTGCATTTGCATGATTTTTCTTGAAAAGTTGGAAGGGAAGAATCTCTTTAAGTACAAACATATTTGTATTGTGTGAATTATCATAAATAATCCTTTACCTATGCAGTACAGTTAAAACTTTTGCATTGTATTTTACTATACTTCTGTATAGTAGCACTGTGTTCACCCTTCCAAATAGTTAGAGTTGTTTGACACTGCAGAGGTGCTTCCTGGTTTGGGAAGGTTGTAATTCGCAATTTATTAGTAAAAGCACATCTTTGTGCATAATTGGGCACTAAATATGGGACAGATTGTTTATCAGTTTAATAATTTTTAATTTCATTGTCAGAAAGCACTAAGTAGGGTGATAGATTTCTTATAAAGTGAGGTGTTTATTTGAATGCTGTGACTGTGCAACATTTACTCTTCTTCAACTACATCTTGCAGAATATCAGAAGTGGCTGGATTTTTATGCTTTTTACTGCAGGATCTGAAAAGGATATTAAAGTGTGAATACATAGAGTTCTCTTTTTTCTTAAAAAAAAAAAAAAAAAAGAATCTCTTGCTTCCTTTTTCCTATTTTCTGCCCCTGTATAAAATATTGCTCGTCCAGAAACCGTACAGACTGAACAGAACTGCTGATCTGTCATCTTTCAAATAAAAATGCGTGATGCCCTGAAGTTGTTTTCACTTGATATGTCATTTGTCATGCTTTACGTAGAAGCAGTGCCTAGTTGTCCTGAAAAAAAAAAGATGTTTCCATTTTTTAGTGTTTTTCTCACCCCCCTTTTTTTCTTCTGAGGCTAAATAAGGACATCATATCAGTCCTGAAACAAATATCTCTTCTTTCACATATGTACTTAGCTCTTGTTGGCAACAAGAGACGATGACAATAAGGCTGTGCATGAGAAAGATCTAACACTGCAGCATATCGTAAAGAAACTAGGTAAGACCTTTAAGAACTGAACACACAGATTAATTTTGTCAGCAAAATTCCCATCTCATATTTGCACAGTGGGCTCTTGTGTTCTGTTTTTTGTACTTTAGCAGAATGATTATAACAATGGCTGTTCTGAGGAAGCAAGGAAAGTTGAATTTTGGTCTGAAGTAATTGTTATTTTTGCTTAAAATAATGATAAATTGTTAACTTAGGCTGTTTTGATTTTCAATATTTGGCTTTTCGTTTTCTGTTCCAGAGGTTACACATAGTGCTTATATTGTAGTATCAGATATTCTCATGTAAACTGATGAATTAATTCCCACCTCACTGTAGCAGTGAAGTATTTCACAGCTGGGGAGCTATGCCTCTGAAAAAGTAACTAAATTGCTTGTGGCTGTCTATAGCTAGAGACGAAAACCTCTATCTGAAGTCATAGCGCATTATGTCCACGAGGTGTTTGAACCACTTGGTGATAAATAGATACAGATAACCTTTTTCCCCCCTTTGGTGGTATGCCCGATTGCTACTTACGTGACTTTAATAAAACTGCCTACGTGAATAATTTTGAAATGCTGGTGTCACTCACATAACACTGAAAGTCTTCAGTACAAAATAAGCTGTGAAGAAAAATGGTTTGGGGCTAGTTGATGATAAACTTAAAATTTATGTTCCGTTTATATATACTTTAGCAAAAAGAGGAGGGAAAGAACTGAAACACATTTTTTAAACTGAAACATAAAATCGTGTCCATCAGAAAATATCAAAATGGAATACTTTTCTGAACATTTTCATTTTTTCCTTTCCTTTCCAAAATGATGTAGTTTAAGACCAGCCTTTTTTGAATAGGTAAGTTTTAACCTATCTCCTCTGTTGGGTTCATTGCATGG